CTAGAACTCAAAATCCTATTTTCTAGTAGAAGATGGAAAAGTAGCGTTCTTTTTCTTTGGAGGAAAACGTGTGTTTTCAAGTTCTCCTAAAAGAAAAAGAATTGGTTTTTCCTCTCCTCTTTGGACTAGGAAGACATCTCCTAAAAGAAAAAGAATTGGTTTTTCCTCTCCTCTTTGGACTAGGAAGACATCTCTATAAATAGGGATTTTTCTAACCTAGATTTGATGAGAGAATTCTATACAATACTTGCCCACCCAAGTATTGAGAGAGTTCAGTTGTTGATTGGGATCACTGTAGAAGACAATAGAACTGGAGTTGGATTTACTTCAAGATATCTGCACACGCTTCAAGAGGTAATCCTGAGTTAATTTTCAGCATACTTTGTATGTGATAACTATTTGTGATTGTTATTTATATTCATGCAAGATGTATGATTCTGGAATGCTTCCGCTGTATATGCTATTTTCCAACAGAACTTTCAAATTGCCTCTAGTCAAGGGAAATATTGTCAGCAAGGATTAAAGAGGAAGGATACTAAGTTAATTATTGGACTGGTCGCTAGAGCATGCAAGATCTAAGTATATTGTGAACACTTTAGGTCGTACCTGATGTTGTAAAGAATATGACCAACTGTTTTCAAAAGTAGGCAGCAAAAGTTTATGTCATCAACATAAAAAATGTACGACATCAACATGCCAACCATATTGTAAAAAGATGGTACATACTTCACAGGTAACCAAAATGAGAAAATGTTAGACGAACATCTGCTATTTGAAAAATAGTGTTGATAATGAACATAGTTTAGCTTGGATTGTTCATTCGAACATTGAGAAGGGAGATCAAACCTAATCCACTGTCAACACTTGACTGACCAGAGGCTCAGTAGAAAAATGAAAAGTTGATAAATCAGTAAGTGCATTTCAAACAAGTTATACTTTTAATAATTAGAGAAAACCTGAAGAACAAAAGACTCTACCTCAAAATAACCATCATATTTAGGAATGAATACATGTTCCTTGATTGTATAAGTTATGTTCTAAAAATTTAGATAAAGATTACATCAATTCAAGTGTAGGAGCAGGTACCGTTCAGTCTTACTTTGTCATAATCTATTTCAGCTTACATTTGCTGCTTTCAGGGGTAGCTGGTGCAGTGAGCGACAATCATTGATTTCTAGCGATATCTTAATTGGTGATTGACATGATGACAATCACTAATATTTTGTTATGAGTGATAACAGTTATTTTTTGAAAGATCAAAGAAAATTATGCAAGATAAATTTTTTACGTAAGAAGTAGGAAAGCATAGTGTATTGTTTTGATAATCATTTAAAAAGTTGTACAATGTTTTACCTTGGTGCAACGTATATCATAAATTTCTAGAGATAGCAGTTCATCTCCAATTTTGTCTGAAATTGTTATTGTTGCCAAATGAGTATCATCGTGAATGGTAACTTCAAATTGACATCTGTTATGGAGATATAAATAAATTGAAAATATTAACAATTTCAAACTATACTCTACCTCATAGTTAATACATCACTCACCCTCCACAAGCAAAGTTCCAACATTTTCTCTCTCTTTTTTTCTTTTTGAAGTTTTAAACTATTGGGTTTCCCAAACAAAATTAAATTTGAACACTACCAACAAACTCAAATTTAAAAAAATTATATGAAGACACCAAAATTAAGATTCATTAGCCAAAAATAAAAGCTAGCAACTTTATTTCGAATTCAGTTGAAAAAATTTCAGGTGGCAAAATGGAATAGGATTTCAACTAAAAGGAAAGATTGAGAATCATCATTACAACTACAAAAATGGAGAAAAAATCATGATAGCTTTGAAAAAAAACAAAAATATTACGAAAAATAAAAGAAACAATTTGAAGGAGGCTTACCTGAGACGAAGGGGAAACAAGAAGATTTTCAGTGACCAAAATAGAGCTTCTACTATTAGGATTTAGTAGAATACGAGCTGTATGTTTACTCTAGGTTAGGGGTATTTTAGGGTTTTCCATTATTTTAGCAATGTTATTCTTGTACAATTATGCTTTTTCGGTTGTACATTTTTGTAAAAGTGAAAAAAACCTTGGCTAAATCATTAATTAAGGATATATTTGGCATTTACATATTTTTATCTGCTGTTGGCTTATGTACTTTGTGAATAAAAAGTTGAACCATCTCATTTTACATATTTTAATGGCCCTCATTTCTGCTACTTATTTCACATTGCTGTGGTTAGAATCAGTCTCCTTCACATCACAAGTCCTCAAGAACACTCTTATCTCCATAAACTATACTGCTCTTTCTTCCCCAGTTTACAGGTAAGTGTCCCCTCTGTTTGTTCGGCCTTTTTATGTCATCTTGTGTTAATTTCTGATTCTGAGATGTTTTTGAATTTTCCATGAAATATTTGTTTTTTTTCATGGGTTGATCTTAAATTTCAAATCGGCTACAGCTCTTTGATGATATGATTTAATCTTAAATATCATCTGTTTCAACTCTTTCAAGGTAATTAAGTGTTTGTTATATTAGGTACAATATACGTACTTGCATAAAAGGTGTTTGTGAAATTGCCCAAAAGAAAGTATATCTATTTCTGGACTATGTTAGAAAGTCTTAACCCAGTTAATTTTGCTTATGGATTTGATTATTGCCACAAGTTTCAATATTAGGATTTGAACCCAAAATAGGGACTTTAGGGGATGACGGAGTAATGGTGATGGTCATAGGCTGATGTTATCACTTAAGGCCTGTAAGCATTACTTTAATGTTGTGCTGGCGTTTTTCTGCTTGATTTTTATTTCCAGTTGTTGCTTCTATTAAGTTTTTTCCTGTCTCCAAATTCCTTGTACTCCAGAATTAAATATACCTTTTGTTTTGGTGAGATGGATTATTGTATTTCTTGAAGGTTAAACACTTCAGACTAAAGCATTATCTTTTGGCTTTTACCTAGAAAGAAGACAGGATCTTCTTAATTGTGAAGATGAGAGGATGTTTAGATGGTATGAGTTCGTTATGCTAGGCATGTATTTACTGAAACATTTTGAATTATAATTTTTGTTTCCAATTTTAATCAAAGACCTTCTTGTACACATCATCGAGGGCAGTATTCATGTCAAAGGATTCTTGGTATAATATGTATACAAAATAATTATACAAAGTTGAATTAATACTCAATAAAGTTAGAGTGTTTGTTTTAATTTACTATGCTAGCGGGAGGTAATAATACTTGATGAAATAGTCGAGGTGTGTGCAAGTTGGTCCGAACACCACCAACAATTCCTCATATAAAAGAAGTTAGAAACTTTAAGTTTATAGAATTACAACCCAGAAGGTGATCTTCTCATATTTTCTGTAGGACAAATCTCAATTAGTTATTTCCATTTCTTTGTGTAGATGTGGATAAATCATATGTGTTCTCACTGCTGTATTACTGCCCAAAAATTTAGTTAATTTACCATTTCATGTATTTTAGTTTAGTATATGGATTAAATGGATCGTGTTAGTAAAGATTCTCAAGCTACCACTGCCAAGTTCATATAAATAGTCAAGACATGCATAGGTATCGAGGTTGTGGTTAATGGTTCTGCACAGTTGCAGATGCAAATTAACTACCGAAGGAAGGGGTGGTTCTCTCCACTCTTAACCAAAATCTTGAGTTCGAATTTGGTAATGAAGTTCCCTTCAGCTTGGAGCATTTTACTGATTTATGAGTTGATTTCCAATTACTAAATGCTAAAAAATCTGTATCTTATTCCCTAGGAAAGCGTCACTCTTATTTTCATCTTTAAACTCCATCCAGTTTTGCTTCTTTTCTCTTATTATTCTAATCCCACAATTGTAAACATTCTAATTGGGTGCTTCTTTGTGATGACTCTCAACTAAGAGTTTATCGCTACTCCATAAAGTATGTACACTGACACGAAAGGAAGTAGGCCTAAAGATAGAGTGCTCTATTGATAGTTTTTGGGTCATCAAGATAGACTGCTCCTTTTGCTCAAGTACAGAATTAACCTCTTGTTCCTGAATTCTTCTGCTATAGCTTCAGTGGCATATCTTTACAAATTTCTGGTTATATATGACTTGTGAGGGTGTGTAGTCACTCCTTTGTATAAAAGATAATTCAATGGATTGTGTCAATAAGATAATGAGAACATAAAAATGATCTTTGTGAAATGGCTGGAGGAGGCGGATGCAGAGGAAGAGGAATAAATTTCTCATGAAGTATCATCTCCGTTTAGCTGACTGTTTCTGAAAACTGTTTTCCTCTGGAGAGAGTAGTAATTATATTCTCCTTTCGGGGATTGAAAAGAATAAGAACGACTTTATGAATATTCTCACAATTTGACTGTTTGTTATGATGCTACTTAACGTTTTAAACATAGTTTCTGTGAGTTTGCTTCCCTTGGATCTTTGTGCTCGCGTGCATCAGTCATTTTTTTCTGACTAATTTTACTAGGTTCTGAAAATGATCACAACTTCTTTTAAGGCATCCTTAATTATTCTATCATTAATCAAGTTTTGCATAAGTAAGAAAAAATGTTAGTAAGAAGAGGATGAAATTGAGTTGATCTGCTTAGTTTTTTGATCATGTGTCTCAAGCTTATTTGGAAAAAAAATACTCCCTCTAATACCAAATAAAAGAGAAGCGTCTAAACCTCAGGAAATCAACAATCGCCGAGAGTCCCAAAGGATGTTGACGAGATGGAGCAGAGTGATTTCCCAGTTTGGTAGAGTAAACTCTGAGTTGGGAAGACAATTGCGTTCTTTACACTGTCGAGATTATTCCAAGGTTGCCGCCGTTGCCGAGCCGCCTGCTGATAAACTATACAATGTTAATGACCAGGTTTTGACTACGAATTACATTTCTTGGCTGTTGGTTTATTTGCCGCATCAATTTGATTCTTAAGAAGATCGAATCTCAAGTTTTGAGTACCTTACGAGTTATGACCATTCAAGCTTCATGCTACATTTGCTTGTTGTATACTTGACAAACCTACTGCATAAAATTAAATGTGAATGGAGATAGTACATGAATTAGTTCTGTAACTGTTCCCTTTAGGTTGATGTTGTGTAAAATGGTATGGCTATCCCACATGAATCTGTTGCTTGGAGTTTTAATCTTTTAGTTGTGATGCTTGCGTGATATATATAATTTACTAAATGGACTTCGATGTGCGAAATGAAAGAAGATACCTTCACTTAATTAAATTGTTGGCATTTGTGCTGAACAGAGATTTGTTGGATGTAATTTGTGCCAACTCTTATTTATTTTGGTAAGTAAATTTTTCAACTTTGGAAGTGCTTCTAATTGACTTCGGTCACTTGAATAGGTAAATTTGAACAAGATGTTCTGGTCTAAGCCTCATTCGCTGGCACTAGCACCTGATTCACCATTCAGAGTTGAAGATCCACAGTACGAGGGCTTTAAGCGCGCTTTATTTAAGCTAATGCTGTTTTATAGTAAGCAAAGCAAGTCCATTCGAGGGGCAAATGTTATTTATCGTCGTGTTGTTCACCAAGTTGACAAACCTGCTATTTACGATGGTTAGTATGCTCCTTGATCATGATTAGCTTTTGCCTGTTTCTATGTGTCCATGGATCACTATGCCTAAATTTATACTATCTTATAAAAAATGATAACAATGTTTCACATCTTGTGCTTTCTTTTTTATATTAAAAAAACAGTATAATTTTATAGTTGGCCTATATCTGAAGTGAAAGATGTAGTTTAGGGGAATAATACACAAGCTGTTTGCAGATGGTTCTTAGCCTCAGTTTATTGACAGTGTCTTTCCTTTTTTGATAAAGTATTGTCAGTGTCTTTCCTTTCTCTAAGGAATTCAAGTAGTTATTGTTCTTCAGGTACTCTGGTTGAGAGGTGAGTTATTGCATTGAATTTTCAAACTGTTGCGCGTTAAATACTTCCTTATTCACATTGCTGATCGACAACCTTTTCACAGTATCTGGTTAATCCTTGCTATCATTTAAGCACAGGCCACTTCTATCTCTTAAGACTTCACTCAGCCCGCTTACAGCATTCCTGCTCATGTTAATACTAGGGCCTGACTTGTTGATATTTATTTTGCATGTGATATTTCAAAAAAAGAAGCTGTTTGGGATCAAATATGTCTAATATGATATCTCTTTCCCCTGAAAATACTGTCATTTGATTAATTTATAACAACAACATGCCTAGTGTAATCCACATGTGGGTCTGGGGATGGAGGGATGTAAGCAGACTGTACCCTAACCTTTGGACAAGCAAACAAATTGAAAATCGGTTATTAAATCTGACAGTCTGTGGTATTTCATTTTCATACAACTGTACTTTTCTTCTCCATCTTTAGAAAATATAATTAGCTTTTGTTCCCAGATTAGCTTTGCTAATTAATTATTTTGAGTTGTCTGATTGTGTATATATGTTGAATGCAGTATTTAGCTTGGAGAAAACATTTAAGACCACATTTTCCTTACTAGTTATCCATATGTGGCTTTGCTTGCGACGTTTGAAACAGGAGGGTAAGGACGGTGTTGAACTGGGACAGTACTTGTATGAGATTTATAATCATGATGTGGAGCTGAGAGTTTCTAAAGCTGGGGTAAGTTACAAAACCCTGATACAGAAAATCAACTCTATAAGCTAATAGTTCTTCTGGGCATTCTCTTTGTTTTTCACTTAGCAGTTTCTACTTGAAACATGATTCATATTTGAACTACTAATCTTGCTGGATATAGCTTGAATCTGGTTTTACCTTTGCCATTCAATCAGCAAAGTCCGGATAGTCATAAAGTTGTCAACTCTAAGATTTGGTGTTTCTTTAGAAAATTTTGGGTTGGAAGTTGAAATATATCTAAGCATAAAGAATGACTGTATGCCCTCCATAAAAAAAAAGAAAATGATAGGAGAAATGAAAACGAGGGGAAGAATGACGAATTGGATTGTATTTATGGGCTGTTGTGCTTATCGGCTTATCCTAAAGAATTGTTGTAAGCTGTTGTATAACAAGCCTGTAGTTCTAAGCTGGGGACATCCATGATATAACGAGGCTGTTGTATAAAATATTTAGTGCTTAAGCTGGGGCATCTTTGATCTTTCCAGAAATA